AGCCATTTTCACTGCCTCTTAAGCGAGGAATCCGTCCCTACAACAGTGGGCGGCCATTTTTTTACCCGGTGGCCATTTTGGAACCGCCGATCAGCTGTTAAAAATCATTGCTTTGTGATGATCGGTAAGCGAAACAGGGAACCGATCATCGCAAAGCAAAAAAAACCATTTAAAACATCGCAATGCGATTGCAAACACTTTATCGCTATGCAGTTTCGTTGCTAAATGGAGCGCCCGTTAAGCGAGGCACCACTGTATTTATAATCTTCCATATTTTAAAATAAACCCTCCATTGTAACCATTTTAGTCTGTTTCAGTAAAAACAACACCTCTTAAGACTTAACCAATTTCAGTGTAAGCTTTCATAGAATAAAGGGCAATTCTTCAGACACGTGTTTGAAAGCTGATACTGAAATAAATATTTTAGTTTTCAAAATTTACAATACTTGTAGTTTTAGCTTATTTTTGTTTTTTTAGTAAAGTGATTTCATGTAGGAAAGCTGTCAAACATCTCAGTGCTAAACAATTTCCAGTGAACAAAAATTGTACTTTTCTCTTTCTTACTTACCTGTCTGTTAGTCTCTGTATATTTAGAGGTTGATGCCAAGAAAGATCTTCATGGCAAAAATTTGATGATGGATGTGAACCCATTTTATACCCATGGGAGATGGGCAGTTACAGCAGAAACACTGTGAGCTGGTCCATTGGTCCATTTAGCCCAGTATTGTTAACTTTAAAAGGCAGCAGCTCTTTAGGGTACAGGCAAGATTCTTTCCTAGCCCTACACAGAGATCTGTGGTCTTCCCTGGTGGTCCCCCATCCAAGTAATAACCAGACCTGTCCCTGCTTAGCTTCCAAAATCAGGTGATATTGGTGTGTTTGGGGCGGTATAGATTTGACTTGTGCATTTAAGTGTCTGATGGTGCTTCCATCCATTCTAATGGGACTGTGTAGGAAATGTTCCAGTATCTTTTGTGTGTGTCTGTGTGTCTGTGTGGCTTTCACTTCCATTTCATATACAGTACTTACCGTATTTTTCGCACCACAAGATGCACTTTCCCCCCTCAAAACAGGGGGGTGGAAAGTCTGTGCGTCTTATGGAGCGAAGAAAACAGCTTATATTTTCCTGTTTTCTTCTCCTAAAAATTGGTGCGTCTGCTTCCACTTCCATTTCATATACTGTACAGTACTTACATATTTGGGACAGAGGTTGAAATAATTACTTGTTTTGGAAGAGTTGCAATTCCCATGCTAGCTAGGGGATTCTGGGAATTGTGATACACAGCATAACTTTTCCAGGTTCTGGTTTAGATTAATACCACATTGTAGAAGCATTTTTTTAATTAAAAAAAGCACTATTTAAACAGTTTTTAGCTGAAAGCATTCATCAGATTTTTTAAAAAAGATGTCACTCAAAACATAATCATAGCATACTAATAACAAGAATAAGCTGAAACTGGGCTTAATTCTAGATTGCATCATTAACATAAACAGAACCTGACTGTTAATCATGTTATTATTGTATAAAGAGGGTGTTGATACCAGTTCGTTTTCAGATTACCGTAATTGGATTCATGTAAAATGAGTGCTGTGGAGGCCAGTTTGCACATTTGTTATGTTGTATTTGCAGTACAGCACTCAACATTGCGTAGATATGGTAAACAAATATTCTGTATTGACTTAGAACCAGCATATATAACTGAACTTACACCTATGTTTATGTTGATGCTTTTTTTAAAGCTAGAGTTTTCACATATTATTTGTCCTTTTTCTGCCTGTAGACTCTTCACACATTCTGTTCTTAGTATAGTTTTACAATAATGTATGTAATGAAGTGCAAAGATGGGTGAAAGAAAAGTGAGGAAAGCACAGCTTACAAACAAAACAGCAATTCTCTGGGGGGTTGGGTAGATTTCCAAGCTCTCTAGACTATCAATAAAAGATCAAATAAATAAAGCACAAGCTATTAACATGAAACAAATTCCAAAAGCTTGTATTTTTGTGTGTGTTGTAAGAGAGTGATTATATCTGTTTTTAAAATAGCTTGAACGTGCTTCTAGTTTAAGAAGGATGTCCCGGCATCTCAGTTTTAAACATGAAACTTCTCACAAATAACATATGGAAAAGCTTCCATGATTTAGTAACAGGAACCTTTCAGTAGCTTCAGTGATTTAGCAACAAAAACCTTTTCCACCATCCACCCGTTTAGTTAATGGATGCACATGCAAAATCTGTGAAGATTCCGGTGTCCTTCCTGCATCATTTGCCGTTCTAACTTTTTGGGGGGTGGGTGGGAGATAAACGCTGTCTACCGGAAGTGAGATGCAAAATGTCAAGAATCTTAGATTGACTTCTCTGCTGTAACGAAGCCAAGGAAAGTTTTTTAATATCTTGGCTCACTTTCCTAAGCCTTTGCCAGAGGCTTCTGACAGAAAAGGAAGATTAATGTAAGCAGGCTAAAGCATGGCACTCATTACTATAGAATGCTTCAGAGCAGCCCACCAGTGGGACTGTGCTGCGATTTGCAGTACAAGGGGAGCCTTTGTCTAGTTTTATCAAATACCACGTTTCTTATGAGCTGCTTGCCAGAAAAGCACAGCAGGCGTGCTAGAAATAGTCTATTCCATGTAAGGAAACAGCTCCAGCAGAAGCGTAGCAACTGAGAGAAACAAGAAAATTCATTGAGGCTTCTGGCAAAACAGACTTTGTGCAGCATTGTCTTCCTAAACTTTTTTTTCCTGTTAAACAATGACTCCTTGTGAATTTGTATCTTGGAATAGAGTTGTTCAGCTACTAATTAATAAAAGGACAGATAAGTGGTTCCTGCAAAATGTTGATAAATGCAGACTTTCTGAGCTTTGGTTTCTAATTTGAAGTATGGCAAGAATATTATCTGGGGGATGTTGGTATTATAGAATCGTACCAGCCTAGTTCTGTGCATAGGTGACACAATTGAGTTTTCTATCCAGAGTGTCGTAAAAATACATTATTGTTCCTAGTAGAGATATTTGACTTAAAAGCTATATAAAAAGGTATGTTGCTTAGATATTGATATTGTTTTTCTTTGGGCAGGAAGTGCTGTGACCACGAAGCCTCAAATAATTTGTGGAGAGAAGGAGATGGGATACTTCTGCAATCTCAGTGCTTGTTATAGACTTAAGATAGTGGTAGGAAAATGATGGTATTGAAGTTCTATTTGGCCCCAGGAAGCCTCCTATGTATCCCTTCAATAACTCGTGTACTGTCGTATGGCTGCCTGCATGCAACATGAGCTGAGCATGAGATACTCACTGTAAGGGAAGAGACAGATAACAGGAATGTCTGATTTTGTCTGTTCTAAAGAGCAGTAGGGTGTAGCAGTTATTGTATTAAGCTGGAGACATGGTACTGGGTGGCTTTGGGACTTTATCTTTTCTCGACATCATCTACTCCAGAGGGTGGTTTTGAGAATAAGGTAAGGAGGAGGAGAGTCACATATTCCAGCTTGAGCCCGTTGGTGGAAAAATGGGATATCAGGTAACAAATGAGAAACAAACAAGACAGTATGTTTGTTTATCTTGAGTGAATGTGATTTATGTTGAGTGAGTGTAAAGTATGTATTGGTAAAATGATTTTCTCAGTTTGGAAATATGCACTCTTCTGAACTGCAAGGAACTGTTGAGCTGAGACAGTTATGAGAGAAAGTTTAGTTTTCACTTCATGCACTTTCTGTTTCTTGCTCCGGTGAGCCGTCAGGCCAAAAGATTCCCTAAAATGAGATGGCATTACTTCCCAATAAGAGTGACTCTCCTGTGTCCTGCTTTTTTGTAAAGTGGCAATTAAAGGTTTTTTTTTTCTAGATACTTCTTTTGTATTGAAAAGAAGAAAATATATGGTGGTAACTGCTGCTAAAGAGAAATAATCACAAAAATATTAGTAATAAAAGCCTAGAATATCTCCTGAATTGTGGTGGAATTGCAAAACCTATTTCTGGTATAGCTTTGTTACATTTAATGGTATTTATTTTTTTAAACTTCATCATCCCCCCCCAAAAAATATGGTGTAGCTTTTTGAACTCGTATACAGAACCTAAAAGAATAAATTTGGCTTTACTGCCTTAATTCAAATATTACACTGAACCATTATTTTAGTAAACATGGTTTAGAATCCAAGCTGTGGTCTGAGCTTTTCAGCGCATAGACCCACATAATATAAATATATGTATTTACAAAATCAAGGATAGCTGGCCAACTGTAAGGGCACAAAAAGTGTGCAGAGGTAAACATTATTCTTTTGTCAGGCAGAATGTTAAAATTAGCCACCCCCAACCCCCTACCCGACAGCTATTGGGAAGGCTGTTCTTATGTTCTTGCAGTTTTCATGCTTGTGTTTGGTTGGTTAGTTTAATTCAAATATTCTGCAGAACCATGGTTAGCTCAAACGTATTCCATGGTCAGTTATTTTCATTTGCTGATTAAACTTAAGAAGAAACTGAAAGAAGCCAGTTACAGTACTGTGAAAAATCATTCTGGGTCTCTTTTGAAGCACTAGGTAAGGGGCCACCCTTTTAAAATCGCATTTAAAAGATATGGGTGCGAAAGCAAAATGGATTTCTTATAATTTTCCTTTCATTTGCAGAAAAGAGTGTAGATAGGGTGTGGAATTCTGTATTCAGAAGATTTGATCAGACAGAGGAGTTCCATTCGATGGCTTGTAGAGAAAATGAGCAGTGCCTGCGTGGCAGGAACGGGTTCATTGTTCCTTAGTTGTATCTGCAGCCTTTGTCTCTTGTGCAGTTTCTTAAAGAAACACTAAGTCCGGTTCCACCTAGGTGTTCTCCTTTTCACTGGCTTGTTCTGCTCAATACTATACACAGGAAGGAGTGTTGGTAGGTAGATGCAGCTGAATAGCATATGTACTTTTCTAATTGTGTAAGTTGGTTGGTTCCTTCCTTCAAAGTATGCTTTTATTCATTTTGAATGGAGTGCCTAAAATATGGTCCTTTCTTCTTTTCTTCAAAGGGCCTGGAATCGTATCTGTGAGCAAGGCTGACACAGGAAACACAGACGGCTCACCTCCAAGTCCTAACCCTTTGAAAAAAGGTGGTCCAATAAACTGGTCTTTCCCTGATAAAATAAAATCCCCAAGAACTGTGAGGAAACTTTCCATGAAAATGAAAAAATTGCCAGAGCTCAGTAGGAAGTTGAGTGTCAAAGGAAATTCAAGCCATAGCAACTCAGACGGTGCTTCATTGCTTAAAACTAATTGCCAGGATATTGGCCATGCCTCATTACCCTCTTCTGGGAGCATCACGGCAGCTGCTAGCAGGAATGTTATAAGCCGGTATCATCTTGATAGCAGTGTGTCCTCTCAACAGAGCTACAAAAAGAAAAGCAGCGTAAGTTCCAAATCCTCCAGCAAAGGGGGCTACCTCAGTGATGGAGATTCTCCTGAGCTTATAACAAAATCAGGGAAACATGCCACTGAAAGTGGGACTGGGAAAGGAAAGGAGGTATTCCCAAGCCACAGTGGTAACAAGACAGAAATAGATATTGATGCTTTCCGCCACTACAGTTTTTCTGACCAACCCAAATGCTCCCAGTACATATCTGGACTCATGAGCATTCACTTCTATGGTGCAGAGGATCTGAAACCACCACGGATGGACTCAAAAGATGTCTTCTGTGCAATTCAGGTAGATTCAGTCAATAAAGCGAGGACTGCCTTGCTGACGTGCAGAACATCTTTCTTGGACATGGATCATACTTTCAACATAGAAATAGAAAATGCCCAGCATTTAAAATTGGTGGTTTTCAGCTGGGAGCCCATGCCAAGGAAAAACCGGGTTTGCTGCCATGGTACGGTGGTGCTTCCTGCTCTTTTTCGAGTGACAAAGACTCATCAGTTGGCAGTCAAGCTGGAGCCCAGAGGTCTCATTTATGTCAAGCTGACCCTTCTGGAACAGTGGGAGAACTCTTTCAAAGGACTCGATGGAGAGCGAGAACCAGTAATGTTTGGCATAGAAGCTCGGAAGGTAGTTGAGATGGAAAACGTAGGCTTGATGGTTCCCCTCTTGATGAAGAAGTGCATCATGGAGATTGAGAAAAGAGGCTGCCAGGTAAATTTTCTATGTTATTGCACTATTGATATTTTGAGAAGTATTATATATTTATGGTACAAAATATATAATTGTCATCTTTGCTGGGTACACTCTACTCTCCTTCATTTACTTATTTTGAGTAGTTACTTGTCTCATAGTAACGCAAAGCTAACATCTCCTGCATTATTTCCGTATCTCAAAGTATGACGGAGTTTTATAATGCAAGGTACAGAAGGATGAAGGAAGTTATCAACTTCAAGGAAGGTCAACAGATTGTTTATTAAATTTCTCTTGGTTTCTGAGACATGCATATGGCTGAAAAATAATTTCTTTTGTAGCCCACCTAGATAAGGTGCAGGCAGAAAATACTGAGATCTGTAATTAGATACCTGGTAATTAGAAATAGCAGGTTTCCTCAGGTTATTCTGATTCTTAGTAGGAGAGGAGGAGGAAGAAAAAAATCCACTTTGCAATAGTGACCCTTTTTTTTTTGCTTATCTCTCAGGCTTAGTGCCTTTCATCTGTAAAACAGGAGTAGTGCCTTGTAACCAGGTCCTTGTTCGGCACTGTCAGTGTTTAGTGTTGTGTAAGAATTTGTGGTCTCTGCTAATATATGTACAGATTTATATATCTATGCCTGTGTAAGTTCCATTAGTAGCTGATTGACTCTGCCCCCTGCCACCATTTTGTGTCTGGCTTCAGTTAATAAAATGTTCTCATAAAAGACATAATACATTTTACAAGCCTGAAGTGCAGCCCAGCTGAATGCAGCTAGCTTACAAAGATCTCTGTGCAGAAGATGGGATTGTAGAAAACAGTTGGGATGAATAGACTGCTTGCAGGGCAAGTATGTATGTCTTGTTGCTTTTGCGTGGACTAAAGAATTGCACTCATCACCTAAACTCAAATATGTAAGTGCTGCCATGATCCAGTCAAAACTGGATTGTTAAATTTCATCCTTTTAGGCAATGTATGTACAGTATATACTCATTTGATTTTTACTCCATTTTAAATGCTCAGGCTAAGTAACAGTTTTGAATAACCGTGTCTATTAGAATAATTAAACATTAAAGGATTACCTATGGAATCTCTATTACCACAAAAGTTAACAAATTTCCTTGCTGCTGCAAAATGGTTGTTTGCTCTAAGAGGATTCCTCAGCTGGAGGATAGTCATGGCTTTGCAGTCCTAAGATTGTTGCAGAGATGGCCAATTGAAGATTTCAGTTTTAAGGATAAAATATTCCAAGTAGCAGAGCCTATGTCATTAAGGACCAAACAAGATATGAGGGCCTTCATAACAATAATAAGTAAATGAATTGATGTCTGTAGTGTCATTCGCCCCCCCCCTCCAAATAAGCTTCAGTCAGGACTGGGGGGGCCAGTCTGGACCAAGATCTGCTGGTTTAGGGAACTTTAGTTCAGGAGGATTTTGCTTAGGCAGTTTTAGGCCCCCAGTCCTGACTGAGGTACATACGGTGGTTGCGAAAGAGGAAAAGGTTCTGCAGAATGTCCACACCATTATTTGTTGCTTTTCCTTAAAAAATAATCTCAAAGTGACTATATATTCCTTGCATTTCTACTTGTGAAAGAAATTGCTTCCTGAAAAGCCCATAGAGATAAATCATATTATACAGCACTACATTTCTGTTCTGTGTTCTAGAATCTGGTGAGTTCAGTTTTAAAAACAGATTTGGTCTGTGATCAGTCTTAAGTATTTGTTCCATGTACTTAATTTATTAAACTTTTGTGGGTTCACACTTAAAGGATCCCAGATTTTCTGCACAGTTTGGATGCAAATAGCTGGGAGGTGGGGTGTTATGTAATGGCTGTGCCTATTTATAGGAGGAAATAATTACATCTGTAGAAACAAACAGACGTTCTATATAATAACTCCGCATTTCAGCAACATTTAATCACCTTATTTTAATTTATTTTCTTTAGTATACTTCATACAACTTTGAGAAACACATGCTCTTTTATTGATGAAAGATGTTATTTTTTTGTTAATGATGTTGGTGTTTTGTATTCCATCTTTTCCTGGGATGTTGCGTACGATCCTGTTGGGCACATTTGAAATTTTAATTGTTCTTCCTCTTTGATTTACTTTTGCATTTTTCCTGTAGTAGCGTTAATGATGTTGGTGTTTTATATTCCGTCTTTTCCTGGGATGTTGTGTGCGATGTCTTCGAACTCCTGTCGGGCACATTTGAAATTTTAATTGTTCTTCCTCTTTGATTTACTTTTGCATTTTTCCTGTAGTAGCAAGCATGGGTAAAGTAATGATTTTGCTCCTAGGTTGTAGGCCTGTACCGTCTGTGTGGCTCAGCAGCTGTCAAGAAAGAGCTCCGAGAGGCATTTGAGAAGGACAGCAAAGCAGTTACTCTCTGTGAAACCCAGTACCCAGATATAAATGTGATAACAGGTAATGAACTTGCTTTTTAAGGCCAAAATGAATTTAAGCTCAAAATGCCCAGAATGTTATTTTTATAATACCTGGGATGAGTAATACCTTTGTTAGCCAACTGAAATATCACAAGCAGGCAAGTTTTAGAGACCTGCATGGCTCTTCATCAGCCTGGGGAAGGCAGAACTTGCAGGGGAGAAACAGAAAAGTAAAAAAAAAATCATCCTGCCTATATGTTGAAATTTCAGGGTCTCTAGGCTCTGCAAACAGAAATAATAAATTTTAGGTGTGTTGGTAGTATCAGGTTTCACCTTCAGGCAAGGGTGGGTGGATAGGTGCAAGTGGAGTTAGTTCCGTTTTTCGGTCTCTATAGACAAAGGAGAGTCAGCCTTGGTGACTAGCTGACTCCTGCTTTAGCAGAGTTTTGTTTGGTACAGTACTTCTCTGTTCCCCAACGCAAAGCGCTCTAATGCCTGGCCTGGTGAAGAGCCCAGAGTTTTTCGGTCTCTATAGACAAAGGAGTGTCAGCCTTGGTGACTGGCTGACTCCTGATTTAGCAGAGTTTTGTTTGGTACTTCTCTGTTCCCCAATGCAAAGCACTCTAATGCCTGGCCTGGTGAAGAGCCCAGCAAGTCTCAAAAGCTTGCTTGTTCATGATATTTAGTGGTCCAATAGAAGTATTAACTTACCTCTGTTTCTAGATGTTGCATATGGATCATGTAACTGTTTCTCCCCCCCATTTGGAAAATACTATTTTTGATTTTGATGATAAAGATGGAATCTTAAGTATAAACAAATGCTGAAACTAATAACATAGGCAGGGGCTGCCTGCTAATGGTAATCCTATATCTATTATGATGTGAAGATTTCCCCCCCCCCTTTTTTGTCCTTTAGGAAGCAATTATTAATTTCTTATGGCAGTGGTTCTTAACCTTTGTTTCTCAGATATTTTTGAACTTCAAATACCACAAGCAATCCTATATCTATTATGATGTGAAGATTCCCCCCCCCCTTTTTTTTGTCCTTTAGGAAGCAATTATTAATTTCTTGTGGTATCAGTGGGGGGAAATTAAAAAAACACACAAGCACATAGCATTTCAATGCGTGATGCTTTTCTGGGGTTCTTGCCGTTCACAGTCATGTCATATCTTTTCACATTCCTAGCAGCTATGCAGATGTATGCATGAGTACTACTCTGCAGCTTTCCATGTTGATCCATGGAAAAGGGGCTGCCATATAGTAAAACACCAGACAGTTAAGATAGAAATGGTCAGTCTTCTAGAATTTCAGATTACTCAGCTGTTCTCAAAGTTCAGGATTTCATTGCAAGAGATTTTGCTGCCTGAAGCAAAGGATAAAGTGGTACCCCTTTCTCCTCCTATGTACGGTTCATCCAGAGTGGCAGTTCAGTCTTGCTTCACAACTGACAATGGAAGCAGCAGCCAAGGTGCACATTCTGCATCAGAGGTGAACAACTGTGAAGTCCAGAAATAATGAGTGAGGAGATTGCCACTGCCATCCCTAGAATCTGACCGCCAAGGCAGTTATAGAAGTTTGGGACTTTTGCTTCAAAAGTTACTTGATCCTTTTAGGGGAATGTTTTAGGGAGGAAAAGATCTTGATGTAGTGGAAACCTCAGGACAGTTCCTTGAGGATTGGTCATATTCATCGTTCAGACTGATGGTTGGAAGGAGAAAATGGGGTAGAGCATAGGAATGAAATGGAGAAGACTGGATTGTCCAGAATTCTGAGTTTTTCCTCTTCAAACTGCAATCTTCTGTTGCAAGGTCCCATTTCCATCATTCTCAACAGATGGAGTGGAATATCTTGCCTGGAGTTTCTTGCCTCATCTGGCAACATTTCATTCTGATTAAGTTTTTTGCTTTGTTGAATAAAAACTTCCCTAGGTTCTATTTGAAAGGAAAATTCTTTTTTTGCTCTCCTTTTTCACTGTGGATGACAAAAGATTCCAAGAATGGAATTTCCTGTGGCATGGGCCATTTCAAGCACACTATTTGAATTACAGTTGTTTTGAAAAGAGCATGTCTCCTGTAATCTTGCCTCTTCTAATTTGAGCTGCTGCAGCTGCTTTTATTTGTGTGCACAGACTTTGCTTTTATTACATACACAGTAGTAAGAGCATGAAAAGTGCCTTCCTGGATCCAACTAAGTGTCCATGCAGTCCAGCATCCCATTTCTATAAGTGGGAAACTTATTGGCTGCGGAAAGATTAAGCCTCAGTAGGGCATGAGAGCTTAAGTAGGGCATGAAAGCAACAGGGCCTTCCCATTGCATCCTTTGCTGATGTCAGGTATTCATACCTGTGAATCAAAGCTTGTGAGATCTGCCTTCTTGAATCCCAATGTAACATACTTGCAACTAATTCCAACTAAATGACAAGATGATAGGGGACATCTTGATTGGCACATGATGAGGCATGTGACCAAGACATACCAATCACCATGTGAATTAGTCATAATTAGCTACAGTGAGTTGTGCAAATCTTACACAAACACCAGTACAATTCTGACTGGTGCATTTTAAAGTCATGTGTTTTAAAATTACTATTAGTTTAATCATAGTTTAAGATAACCTATTGTTTCCTTTTTTTGTATATGTGTTTATCTTGTAAGCCACCTTGAGAACCAATTTTTGGTGAACAATTGGCAATTCCACTTGGTTATTTCGGCTAATAATTATTCATTTCCTTCATGAGTTTGTCTTCTTTTGTTAAGCTGTCTAGGCTAGTGGCTCTAATGTCATCTATATACAGTACTGTATTACATTAGAATATGACTCAGTAGTTTGATGTGGGTAAAAATATCAGATAGTTTCTGTTGTGTACATTGTAATAGTTATCTTCTTAATTTAGAAGTGTCTTTCCAAAAAACAGAAGAATTACCGTGCAGATTATACAAATCACAGTCAATATGGATGAATGGGCACTGTTAGACTCTGTAGTATATTGTCTATACTAGCATCACATGCAAGCATTAGAAACATATGGAGTACACCGTTCAGCATTCTGAGAATCTTAAGTTGAAGGTTTAAACAGATGAACTCGTTATTGTTAGCAGTTAAACAGAACCTGCTGAAAGCTCAGAAACTTGTAGGGAAGGAGAGCAGGAAAATACAGATGAGTGTAATTCAGTGATAAGAGTACATACTTTGCATGCAAAGAGTCCCAGGTTCAGTTTCTGGCATCTGATCACCCATAAACCATGTACATGCCTAGCTGGCTGCCTTGTAAATGTAATGTGTTTGTTTAAAAATAGGAAGTTGTAATATGTCCTGGAAATAGCCATAGCAATGTAGGTGCTGGTGCAAGTCTGGGATACCACTGCCCTGTGTGCTGCTCTTTAGCTGATCATTTGTGAAGGGTCATGCACCTCCACCTCCAAAATCCAGCACTAACTTAGGAGCTACTAGGGAGACCACCAGTTTTGATAGCATACAGTATCCTGGATGTCAGTCGAGCTTGAACTTGATTGGTTGCAGTACAGTGGTGCCCCGCTTGACGATTACCCTGCTTCACGACAAAAATTGCTTCACGATGAGGTTTTTGCAATCACTATTGCGATCGCAAAACGATGATTGAATGGGGAAAATCCGCTTTACGATGATCGGTTTCCTGCTTCGGGAACCCGTTCTTCGCATCATGACAATCAAAAACAGCTGATCGTCGGGTATCAAAATGGCCACCCACTCTTTTCCGGACCTATTTCCGGAAAACAGCGAACAAAAATGGCTTCCCCTATGGAGGATCTTCGCTGGACGATGAGGTATTTCGCCCATTGGAACGCACTGAACCAGTTTTCAATGCATTTCAATGGTTTTTTTAAAATTTTACTTGACGACGATATCGCTTAACAGCGATTTTAACGGAATGGATTATCATCATCAAGCGGGGCGCCACTGTACTTGAGATAAAAGCTGAACTTATTTGTTGCAGTAAATGGGAGTACAATAGGACCCCGATATCCATAAGATTGATATCTGCGGTTTTAGTTATCTGCGGTTTATCTCAGCTGTACCTACAACATACAAGTGGGTGGGCTTTGAGACCTTTGTCCTGGCTTCTTATATGTCGCATACAGGATTCCCTACTATCCATGGTTTCAGGCATTTGTGGTAGACCGTGGAATAGATCCCCTGTGGGTCCTAGTGTATTAGCAATTTTGTGTATGTTGTATTGGAAGCTGGTTGTGAAGATCAGAATCTTGTTCTCAGAATAAATTGTACTGATGATTTGGCATCTGGCAATCTAGTTTTTAAGGGACTGGGATTTTTAGTTTGTGAGAAGAAGTATGATAATGCAGTTTCAGTCCCCTTCCTGCGAGCAGGACATGCAGTCAGACTTTCTCTCAATGTGAGAATGGAAGCTGCCTATGAAAGAGCCTGGCAATTTGTGTGCTAGTTCCCATGCCATCCTGTAGCTTCAGAGTTCTGGAAAAATAAAAAGCTTAAGGTTGCCTCTTTGTGCTGCTTTGTGAAGGCCCTCTCCCCCCCCCCACAACCATCTAGCAATCTCTCCTTTGCATCTGTTTCGAGGGAGGTGCTGGCAGGAGTTTTGCCAGAACAGGAGATCTGAATAGTCAGATGTTACGGAACCCTGTGACAAAGAAAAGGGGGATGAAGACATTGGCCATCAAAATGTATTTCTTGTACTGAGAACCAGAAACCTGTTCTTCAGTGTAAGCAAGGTCATATGCTTTGGTTCATTTCTCACCAGTAAATAAAAAGCACCTGTTGTGACTCTTTTGGGGTGTGTGTGTGCGTGTGTGTGTGCGTGCGTTTGTGCGTGCGTGCGTGCGCACAGACACATGCCATGTCAACATGGCTAGGAACTTGGAAAATAAAAGGCTTTAGACAACACTTTCAATGCAAAGTACGAGATATGCTTCAAACAGGCTGCCTGTGGTGACTGATGATTGTGGAGAGTGGGGAAGAAAACCTCTCTAGTTGTTGGAGTGAAATGAGTGTTACAGATAGGGACAGTTTTGGCTCTTTACGTTTCTAACATTCGGAGTTGATGCTTACATTAAAAATGCTAATAACACATGTTTCTTGTTAATAATATTTTGCTGAATCTTTAGTGTAAATCTTAACCTTTAGATGGCTGCCTTTGTTTAGTGCTACAGTATTTTCCTTATTATTGATTAAAATATGTGGAATCCACTCTTCCCCCCCCCCGCCCAAACTCCCTAATTGGTCAAGGAATGCACATTTAATTATTAAACCTTGGCTGAGAAATGCTCCTTTGGCTGGCACTGGCTTACACACAGTTAAATGCCCATGTGATTCAGAGTAATGCACCCTGACGGATTTAAAAGCTGGCTGGCTTCTGATATTGCTGCATCATGTCTGCTTCCAGCCATGTGAACTTTCTTCTTGGAGTAAAGCATGTCATACAGTTAGCAGTTCAGCGGGTCAGAAAAATGAGAAATTAATGAGGTGGATTGGGGGAGGTGTTTTTTTTTTTTGCTTGGTGCCTAAATTAGTTCTGTGCAGACGATGATTGTATCAAGAAAAATGCAGCAGTCAGGAGAGGCCAGTCCATAAAAATAACTGCCATCTCTTGACTGGGCTCAGTTAGTAAAAAGATTTGGGGGTGGCAGGCAGGTCAGAGGGCTCATGGGTTATTTTGTTCAGGAATTAAGCAAGTGAAAGTGTTTTGAGAAGGAAATGCCAGGTGACTCTGTTACATAGCTCCCCACTAAAGCTATTAATAGACATTCCAAAGGGTGCTGCTGTATTGAATCCTTTAAAAATATACGGCAGATGCCTTTCCTCTCACTTGTGTATTTGGTGCCAGAAGTGTTTGGAGAAGATATTTTTATTAGGTTTACTAGCAAGACCGGGGGGGGGGGCACTCCGCTTTTACCTTTATTCATTACATTCCCAAACAGGGGTTACAAGAAACAGTTTCTGTCTATTCAGCATCGTATTTGAATTACCTTGACTTGAAATAATTAAGCGAAGTCTAGCCTTCTTGACTTGTGCGTAACCAGCAGACTCCCTGTACTTTCCAGTTTTGGCTATCAGATTAAGTGCTGGATGAATTTCCTGTGTCCCATAGTAGCTGTGGACCTCATAAGAAGGGTTTCCTGTCATTTTATGATTATACAATTAGTTGGTACATTTTGACTGGTACCAATTTTCCTTGACATGGAAATCATGTGGTCTTAAGGCCTTTTTGAATCCTCTCCCCCCCCATCCCTTCAGAGAAGAATGGAGATAGAATCCTTGCTTTACTCTTAAGGATTTTGCTCTTAACAACAGCTTCAATTAACACAGTTCACATTACAGTTGGGTCATAGGGCAGGATTTGTGGTAGGCACACTGAGGCTTGCAACAAGTCTTGCTTTGTTAAAGAACACTCAGCAGTGGTATTTCTGTCATGGTTCGGGGATTAACAGGGCCTTTATTTAGCAGATACTTAAATTGGTATCTCGGCTTCCTACTTTCAGCTCTCTTTGTTTTCATTCTGTATTAAATGGTGCTATTTATTAAAGCGCAGGTTGTGCTTACCCAGTTGTATAAACAATGAGAAAGGTGTCATTGTTGGTTTTCATTTTCATTTTTAAATTAGCTGAAATTTTTAGAAGTTTATAATATTTGTTTTTTGCATTTCAGTGCCTATATATCAGTTTTCAGCTGATCCATTTATCTTTCCTTTAGAAACATCCCTAACCCCCCTCTCTCTATATATATATATACACAAACACACACAGGTTGTATAAACAATGAGAAAGGTGTCATTGTTGGTTTTCATTTTCATTTTTAAATTAGCTGAAATTTTTAGAAGTTTATAATATTTGTTTTTTGCATTTCAGTGCCTATATATCAGTTTTCAGCTGATCCATTTATCTTTCCTTTAGAAACATCCCTAACCCCCCTCTCTCTATATATATATATACACAAACACACACAGACACATACCACACACTCCACAGTTCAGTTGTAGAATTGGTGATGTTTTGCTGGTGGTGTGTAGTTTTTTTAAAAAAAATCCTTGATATAAGATGGTGCTTGACATAAATTTCTGAAAGTAAATATGAAGCTGTTGTGAAACATTGGACTGAAATGTTTTTCTGTGAAATAATATTGCAAGGCCTATGAAATGGCACCTTAAGTGGTGAATACTGTTACAGTTCTTCCATCTTTGTGGAATTTGGTTTTGTGTGAGTCCTTAAGGTGGTTTAATTAATATTTCACAAATATTTTTATTTATTTGAAAAGTGATTGTGTGGGAGAAATAACCAGAGAAAACAAAAATACATTGTACATTCTTCTAGCAGATGAAGTTTAATTCTTGTCTATACACGTGACAAAACAAGGTGTTAGAATAGACAGATTGTGTTCAGATCACAGACAAACCACATTTTAAATGCTTTCCTACCTCACTAACCCTCCCAAACTAGTAGAGCAGGCAAAGGGGTAGCAAAATCTTTTTCCCTGATTCCTTCCTTCCTTCCTTCCTTCCTTCCTTCCTTCCTTCCTTACTTACTTACTTACTTACTTACTTACTTACTTACTTACTTACTTATTTCTTTACTTTTTT